AGCATTGCGCGCATACCGTGTGAGTACGCGTTGCACGCGGGACGACTAGTGTACATAGTATTTGCTTAGAAGTGTATGTACGTTGAACTTCTTTCACACCGTGCGTAGCCAACTGTACTAATCGACGGTGCGGGGGACGGACAACAAACTAAACTCAAAAAGGCAGTTCAAAAGAAATGAGTTTTACATTTAGATTAGAAAGTGCATAGCTCTAGTGGCGTCCTAATATTGGAAGGAAGAACGTTCCAGACGGCCGCAGAAGCGAATCTGACAGTACGCGATGCAGTGACCGATGTTTATCAAAAAAAAACAACAATAATTTAAATCACATTGTCAATCCACTGCTGGATGCAGACCTACCGCATGCTTAACCACGATTGGCCAGTGTTGGTCGGTGAAGCTGCCGAGTAAACAGGACCAGTTCAGATTTTACTTCCCCACTGATGTTAAGCTCTGACCGGGAATCGATGTCAGGTTGATGGGTTCACAATGAAGTGCCCTAACCACTGGCCCCACCACTCTCAATGTTGTGTGCTGCCGTGTACTGAACCAATGTGCTGTAGACCGTGTATGAGAAGGTCAATATGTTTTGAGAATAAGGTGCGCAACCAGTCAATCGCCCGACTTAATGTTAAAGAGTTACTCTAAATAAAAATATTTCGGATTAGCTATTTTTTTTTATTACGTTTTACCCTCTCCGGTAATAACACGGTGTTAAAATGTTCACACACCCAATAGATAGCTTTTGCGAGGAATCAAGTCTGCATTAACCACACGTACTTGTGGTGAACATGCAAACAAACATGATCTGATAATATACGCACTGTCTTTGAAATTGATGTAGGCCAATTAGTTCTAAAGCCAATGTGTATATTATCAGAGCTTCAAACAAATACGGATTCCACTTATCATAAATGTTTAATACCGTACCAGATTATGTTATTGCATACGCACCCCCCCCAAAAAAAAAACACGCGTGCTCACGGTATTAATAAAGTTCTACAAGTCTAGTCACGCACAACACAAATGATCCGACGTACTCCCAAAAATTCGACTTTTTAAACTGCAGAGAGGAGAAAAGTGCGTCTGCTAATTCGAGAGAATGCGGTATTAATATTCGCGAGCAATGCTTCTATCTTTCTGGACTAATCACCGAATTGGAATCTTAGCACGCGTAATGGCTTTCTCTCTTCACTGCGTTCTGCACAAGAGGCGCTCCGCTAAGCGGCAGAAATGTCAGAAAACAAAGGGATGATGACCATTCCATGGCAGTGCGTTGCTCCGACCAATTGCTCGATCTATTGCGTCGGTGTGTTAAGATACGGCGGTGGGTAACGCACTCTCCGACTCCGCTTTTGCACGCTCTGAATCGGTGTCTTGCAACATTGCTATGCAATGCGTGGTGAAGCATGGGTATTAAAAAAAAGCACCCATGATAGACACGGCGTCGGAGAAAGACATTTGCCCGGCAGTGGATTGACAAGAGGTGTCTGTGAGAAAAACAATATTTAATATGCAGCGAATTTCCGGAATTATTCGCAAACGTTTGCAAGAAGCCATTCACAAATGCAACAGCCTTGAGATCGTGCATCAACGCTGTTTGTCGCGATGGCCGTCTCGGTTGACTTGAGCGTGTACAACCCTGTGTGTAAATCCACTGCTGGACAAGGCCCTCAAATCCCACGCTGCGCGGGTCTTGGAGGATACTTGACCATACTGCACCGTGCTGCTCAGTGAGAGTTGGTAAAGGCGGGCAGCAAAGAGGCACAGTACAACTTTCTATTATTTTTTATCTGCACGATCCACAAAGTAGCCCCGCAGCCTATGACACCTGTTATACACGGTGGCAGCCAAACCCAAGTTACTATCCAGGCTGAAAAACCTGCTTAGCTTCAGAGATCGGACGCATAGTCCGTGATTTGTCCAAGGCAGTCAGTCTGCTGTGCGCGTGTGTGTGTTCCAGCTGGGTCTGGCCCGTGACCTCATGCCGGCGAGCCTTGGACAGCCACCCCGCGTGGCTTCAGAGTGCACCTCGCTTGGCACAAACGCAGTGGAGGCTTCACTGCCACTTCGTGTAAAATTACGACTCCTGTTCGTGTTATTACGGGGAGCGGTCGTGCTGGGGTTAGCGCGCTTCGAACCCCGCGTCCCAAGATCGAGTCCTCCTCACCGCCAACACCGGTGACGATTATATTAAACGGACATGGGCCTCCCCTAGGTCGACTCAGACTCAAATGAGTACCTGGTGCGGTGTGTAAACGTCGTCACTTATGAGACACGAGGTGCGTGGTGTTGGCCATCCACCTCCTCGTGTGCCGTGCCGGCCTTCATAGTTGCTCGCTAACAGCACTTGCCCCAACAGTCTGTTCGGGCTGAACGGGAAGATCTATGTCCTTGTTTGTATAGACGGTTTACATGTGTTTATACGTTTATGCATGCACACGTACATGAACATAAATAAAGGCAGTCAAAAGGAGAGAGTTGCCATCAACAACATAATCATCATCATCATCAGCCATTCTATCAATCCACTGCTGGATGAACGCCTCCCTCCCCACGCCGTGACTGAGTGCGTGATACCGTACGAACGCATCGATACGCATCGTATGAAATCATCGTATGTAATCATCGATTGTAATCATCGATTGTAATCAACAACGATCTCTAACCGTCGAATGCGCTCATTATGTTACGTTAAGCGATCGCGCGCGGAACATTGAAATAAAAACGGAGCACGTTTAGCGTCTTGTCGGTAGCACAGTTTCGGTTCGTTATTTCGTTACCAAATCATATTCTTACTCTTAGTTCTTTCGGTAAAGTCACGTAGGTAAAAAAATTGAAATTAAAATTAATAAAAATGTTTTTATTAAAATTAAGAAAAATAATTGTATTCATTTTAATTTCAATTTTTTTACCTACGTGACTTTACCGAAAGAACTAAGAGTATGAATCCGTGCAGTCACGAAAGCTTCAAATCTAGAAATCATATTCTCACTCGCCGCCGCCTCCTCCTCCTCATCATCACTACGCGTGCCGTAGCTTCGACGCTGTGCACGCGCACAGGACTCGCGAATGGAACGCGCGCCACGCTCTTCTGCGCGTACGACGGCAACGCGCGCGGGAGCCAAACGCCAATGTCGCGAGGTCAGATCGCCACGGCGAGAGGGGGCTTCGGGAGAGGAGAGAGAGAGAGGAGAGAGAAAGTTGGTGTGGTTCTTGCTGTGCCTCCGTTGAAGGGGCGCAGACGAGGCTGGTTTACGATCACGGTCCACAGTTTGCGTCGCATGGCCACAATCACTCTCCCGTGGCTCGTCTCTTTAATTTCCCATTCACGGAGGAGCCGTGCGCACACTGTATACAAAGACAAAGATCCCCCGTATAGTCTGCGCAGACTTGTTGGGGCAAGTGCTCTTAGTGAGCACCCGCGAAGATCGGCACGGCACACGAGGGGGTGGATGGACAGCACCACGCCCGGCCACCTTTGTCTCCCCAGTGGCGATATTTACGCATCGCACCAGGTACTTAGTTGAGGCTGAGTCGATCTAGGAGAGGCCCAGGACCGGTTAAGACAATCGTCACTGGTGTTGGCCTTGAGCGGGAAATCGAACTCGGGTTGCCGTGTTCGTAGCGCAGTGCTCTGACCACTACACCACCGCTCCCCACACACTATATACACCACACTATATACACCACACTATATACACCACATTATATACACCACATCATATACGTAACATTCAACACACGCACGGTACACTTGCATACAACGCGAACACCGACACGTGTAGTATTATCTCAAGCAATAGCAATTGATTGGCAGCGGAGTTGTTATCGGCCTTTTACAACGGTCTGATAGAGAACACGTGCGCGCACACACACACACGCACACACGTAAGTGCGTATGTGTGTGCGTGTGTATGTGCACACACACACTCGCAACGTGCAAAAACGGCACACACACATACACACCACTCTGCATTGACTATTCGTCAATTTATAATCATCGTAAACACGGCACGGTGCGCTCTCGCTAACAATGTAATAAACGTTTGACAGTATACATTTGTACAACGCGTTAAATGTTTCCAGTTTATTCACAAGAGTGCACAAGTGGATTACTACGTCCATCATCGTAGGGGAGGGTGCTTTCTCCAGCAGTGGATCGATCATGGCTGCTGCTGCTGATGATGAAAAATGTAAGTTTACATAGACATAAAAAAGCAGACACAAATGAGATAGCAATCTTACAGCTACCGGTGTTAGGTGTGATTAACAATGTTATATTTTACAGCTACGTTGTACGTGTGTTTATATATTTATTCATGTGTACATATTGTATGGCGGTGACGCTTGATCCATTTGAGGAATCGCGCTGAAATGATTGAAATTACCCAGTGGCAAAGTAAAACAACATTAACATGTACTTCGACCACTTTTGTGAAATATCCCAGACAACATTATTAATATGAACTTAATTCGTTTTTAATTCATCATCATCATTATCATCATCATCCTCATTGATCATACGTGATCTAGTGATGGGTCATACCCGCAGTTATACAAAACATGAGGATGTCACATCGGCACTTGAACACGATGGCCATTCAAAGCGTCAATTATCTGCGACTCCTCAAGAAAGCCTTTTGCACGAACTATCTAAAATGCACGACCATCACCAAAAATGAGCCTTGAGACTCAGTGCGGCTTTTACTGCATAAACGAACAAACCCACCCCCAACAATTTAGGCTGCAAAACTACGACGTAGACCCAAGAAGAAGAAGAAGAAGACGACGCTCCCGGGGACGTGGATCGAAACGTCGGATATCGTAGCGAACAAAACGCTGTAGCGACCGGAGAGCGCGTCAGAGTGTGGTGGCTGCCGCTGCTGCAGCTGCCTGCCGCTGCTGCTGCTTCTGTCGGGAGCGACTCCATCCAACTCGGCACGCATCCCGTACAACGCGCGCATCGCAACATTCTCACGTCTCGCCGAGTCAGACCACTCCACCCCCCCCCCCCCGCAGATTAGCGCACAACCGCACGCACATCGCACGCACATCGCACGCACATCGTTCAACATCGCACGCACATCCCACCACTCACATCCTTTGCACTCCGTTTGACGGGCGTTTTTTTTATGGGTGGGCAAAATTATTTTAAATATTTACCAACAACGAGCGAATCTACGGCGTCTCATCTAACAACGACAACAACACGATAATAACATCAGCAAAAAAATCGGAGATAACAAACTTACAGGAAAAAAAACACAAGCAGAGACCTCGAACCGCGTTGAGTCATCGGTTATGGGCACGGCGCTGTAGGCGACTTGAGAGGCAGGTTTAAGTATCGGTCGCTACATCAATGGAACGACATTGCCCACACACAACCCGATGCCTCTGCCGTTTCCTCGACTCCTGCACCAAACATCTGGCAGGTTTGACAAGCGATATATCTCGATGTCTCTCCACTCAATCCCTGCATCTCTACCCATTCTATGATCTCTCCCACCGGACCCCACCTCGGCTCCCTGTGTACCCCCGTATCATGTACCCCCCCCCCATCCTCCCTAGGGAGCTGCGTGTACGACCCCGGGGAAGCTGTTGGGCTTCCCACGTATCGCTCCGCGCTGCGATTGAATTGGACTTAAACCTCTTGACTTTACCCTCTGCGTACTGCAGCCCAGCAGATACCACTGTGCGTGTGATTGTCCTTTTTCATGCACGCGTGTGTGTAGGTCTATGTATGCACGTGTGCGCCTGTGCCTCTGTGCGTGTCTTTGTATTTGCTTCCTGAGACTATACGGGGGATATGCGTATTTGCGTGTACGCTTATATTTGTATGGCTGTGAGTGTGCGTGGTTGTTCGTGCGTATGCGCATATCTTTGTGTGTATGTGTATGCGTGCGCGCACCTGTTTGCGAGTGTGCTCACGAACGGCACTTTCCCCAACAGTCTTTTAAAGCCAACACTGGGGATCTTTTGCCTTCGTCTGTGCGCGCGTATGTGTGTGTTAGTGTGGGTGCACGTGTGTGCACAAGTGTGTGTGTATTAAGTCGCAACAGTGTATTACCTCTGTTAGACGAGTTTATTTTGAAACGCATGAGTGTGACCCCGGATGGCCCATACGCGGATTACAAGCACGGTATTGCGTAATTGTGCAAAGGTTTATCATCATGATTATTATTATGCGAGACTGTTACTGTAAAACTGTAGGCTCATTGAAGACGAATTGCATCTCGTACGACCGTTCAATTGGTTAATATATAAGTAAACAATTATAATACATGTCGTAGACAGACACTTGTTGACCTACGGATGTATTGCCCGCGCGCTTCAAATCAAAGGAGCGAGCGATGGCGCAGTGGTTAGCGCACTCCGCTTTGCATTTCGGCCACCTGTGTTCGATTCCGACCGCTTTCCAGCGCCCCAACTCCACCAGCACCCCTCACTCACCAACCCGCACTTTGCCAGCGTGGTGAAGTATGGTCAAACAACCCCCATAATCGACAGCAGTGTGTGGGGGGGGGGGGGGGTGGGGTGGTCCTTCATCCAGCGGTGCGTTGGCAGAAGGCTGTACAACCATTGTGTTTACATGGCGAGAGTCAACGTCGTTCTCTTAGGGCAGATGGTTGCGTGTGGGTGCCACGGTGGCGAGATGTTAACTACCTCGCCTGGACTGCAGGAGTTCGTGGGTTCAATCCCGAGCCTGACGCCTGCTGCTGTATATTTGGAGTTTGCGTGTTCTGCTCGTGGTCGTGTGGATTTTCTATGGGTCCACCGGCTTTTTCCTCCACATTTACAAACATGCGTTTAGGTCATTTGGCTGCTATACATTTCCACGTGACGAGCCACTTCGTTGATATATCATTTGTGGCCAGGTCGCTTCTCAAAATAAGCTCCAGAGCTCCGTGAGCCTTACCTGGTGAACATGAAAACAGTTTAGTTTAGGGCGTGGGAAATTGTGTTGCATCTAAATTTCATGACATTCGAACGTGGCGCGCACGCAATTGTCCCTGATGTTCTCGTTTTCCCAACACTCGCAGCAAGCGCACGGCTGCAGTACGCACTACGGAAAAAACATTCCATACGACCTACGCGTTATATATATGTATACTGTGTTGTCGACGCATTTGCAATCGTGATAGTCATCTCTGTGCCAGTTCACTGCTGGATGAAGGCTTCCCACGCGCTGTCGCTCATGGGAGGAGGAGGAGGAGGGGGGGAGGGACCGCACCTGGTCAGTGATGGTGAGGGTGTCGGTGAGCCCGAGACTGATTCAGATATCACTCGACACCGACGCTATCCGTAGCCTGGAATCAAACTCAGGTTTCCCGGTGCAAATATCTCCATCCCAAGTATATATATGTACAAAGACGCCCTTATACGCACATATATCTGTAGAGTTTATAGAGTAATCCAATAGGGGACGTTTATACTAAAAAAACATACTTCAAAACGTCAAAAAATTGCAGAAACATTTGGTACAATGCAAGATATATCACGGGCGGGCGGGATATGTGCTCAGGAATTCACGTGTAAACCCAGCGAATAATTGTGAGTTTATCACAGGTGTGTTCGCATTACTACACTCACATGAGTAAATGCATATGGATACATGCACGTGGTACACAATACTATATATTCACATGCCAGCAAATACAAATATCCCCCATACAGGCTTTTTACAGACTGTTGGGGCAAGTGCTGTTCGCGAGCACCTGTTAAGGCCGGAAACGAACACGAAGGGGTTTATCGTCAGCACTGTGCACGTCCACATTTGTCTCCCCAGGGCTGGTGTTTTATACATGCAGCACTAGATACCCATTTCAGTCTGAGTCGACCTAGGGAGAGCCCAGGACTGGTTCAGATAATCATCACTATTGTCCGTGTTCTTAGCGCAGTGCGCTAATCGCTACACTACCACCCACATACATTCACGTACATAGACACGCGTTGGCCTGCGGTGCACACGCATACATATACCTACAGATAAATGCACGCTCACGTATATAACCATGGGCAGTGGCAACTAGTAATACATTTGTGCTCTATTTCAATAGCGAGCTCTCTGTATACAGGCAGGACGTGCAAAGTGTCTACACACGCGATTTTGTATCGTGGCGTCCAATATCACAGGGAAAATCAAATTCAATAATTCGCCGCTTCCATCGAGATCCTGATGGCATGTTCATAATGACGTTTTTAAAAAATAAATCAGAAATTCATAGGCGAGACTCAATACCCCTCCTGCCCAGGAGGATCTTGCTCGGGTTTAGTTTGGCCAATTCCTTGACAACGCGTTACATCGCAATATTCAGAATCAAAACGACCCACACCCGTCGAATAAAATTTGACTTTTCCCGAACCAACGTTGTTTCCAGCATCGCTTGTTCGTACCAAACAAGGCCAACCCTCACGCGGCTTCGGTTTCTCTGGACATCATCAGCAGCAGCAGTAGCAGCAGCAGCACTTCGCTGCTCGACAACTTACGGCCGGCTACAATGCAGTGCGGTGCCACAAACCCCTCGTGTTGTCCGGGCGGCCTTTGAGCATGCAAATGCGCATCGAGGCATCAACTGAACACACACAGCGGCGGTGGAGAGCCGGGCGGGGGCGGGGGGCTGGAGGGGGGCGGCAGAGGATAGGGGGGGGGGGTAGTCGAGGAGGGAGGCGGAGAAAGGAGGAAGGGGTGAGGAAGGGAATACTCCATCGGCAGCGTCGGCCAATGGGAGGCAGTCTCGGCGGGCTCCAGCCGCCTTTATCTCGGGCTCGCATCTCAAACAAGGCGGCCTCTCGCACTCAAACTTAACGCGCGTCGCCTCCAGGCTGCTGCTGCTGCTACCGCCTTGAACAACAAAAACAACGCAGTGCCCGCCACGCCGCGCGAACCCCACTGCAACGGGGCCCCGCGTCCTCCCGAGCGCCTGCATCTCTCTGCCGAACTCTCTCCGCGTCTCTCCCTCTCTCTCTACAACATCTCTGTCCGCCTCTCTCGCCCTCCCACCCCCTCCCCGTACACCCCCCCACCTCCAACCCCTTCTTCCCTTCTAGTCTCGCCTCTCGTTTTGGAGCTCTCTCTCACACTCACTCACTTTGTAAAAGAGCACTTTTCTCTCTCTCTCTCTCCCACCCCTCCGCTCGCTCTCTCGTGCTCTCTCTCTCTCTCCCCCTCGCTCTCTGTCCTCCTCTCGTCCCTGCCTGCTGAGTGCCCAGTGCTCGTCGTCGACCGCTCCGCACGGACCGGCTGTAATGTTAGCCGTCGGGCATATGGATGCTACGAACCGGCAGAGCGCTTTCGTCCTCAGCAGCCCTCCTCTGGCAGCCCTGCACAGCATGACCGAGATGAAGGCGCCCCTGTACCAGTACGCGATGCAGAACTCGCACTCGGCCGGCTTCAAGACTCACTCGGCCGCGGGACTCACCGGACTCAGCTCGCAGCTGGCCGCGGCCGCAGCCGCCGCCGCAGCGGCCGCGACACCGCACGGCATCAACGACATCCTGGGGCGGCCCTCGATGCATTGCGCCGGCGGCGTGGGGCCGGGGCTGCTGTCGGCCGGCCTCACCAGGGGCCTCGGGGGCATCGGGGGTAACCCGGGCGCCGCCACGGCGGGCGTCTACTTCGGCCACGGCGCCGCCGCGGCCGCTCACGCCGCCGCGGCCGCTCACGCCGCCGTCGGCCGCTACCCGAAGCCACTGGCCGAGCTGCCGGGCCGCCCGCCCATCTTCTGGCCGGGACTCATGCAGACGTCGCCGTGGAGAGACGCGCGCCTCGGCTGCTCCCCGAGTGAGTGAGCTCGGCTCCGAGCGGGGCGCGCGCGCGCGCGATCTCGCGTCGGTGTTGGTCGTGGGCGCAAGCGGTGGTCTCGTGTGACGCTTTGTCGGTGATGTCTCGTTGTCACGTTCGTCAACGGTGCGGGCAGAGGGGTTGTGATGCACGCGTTGGTCAGGTGTTTGGTTGCGTGCGATCGTTTAGCGGGGCGCATGCACGGAAGATGATTGTTCGTTCGAGTCTTGGGGCGAGGAGATTACTCGCTTGCAGCCCGTTAGCCGTGTGTTGCGAGTGATTGCAATGCTGTCGGTGTTATTAGCGCCCGAGTTTAGATTGTCAACTCTACAACACACTCTGGCTTCGCCCGGGTTACTCTTAAGTTTAACGGCGACTTTAATACGCGGCGGGTTGAACGTGTTCACAAGCAATTAAACGCGAGCAGAAATATCACGGGGAATCACCACAGGACGCGTTCTTAGCATGCAAGTTACTGTTGACAAATACGCAGTTAGTAGTAATAAGTCAAGACGCGAGTCAATCATCGTGGGTTTCACGAATATACAAGCACGCGGCATCCACTTGGACCGATTTGAAATAAAAAATCGAGTCAATACGACAATTTAATTAACTCGTACAAATGCAAGTTTCGTCGACACACGCGCGTATACAACCGTGCCTAAGACATCGTCGCCGCGATTAAATAACCATCACGACTGCCGTTTCCCGTCCAGCGTTGGTCGCGCAAATAAGTTCACGAAATTTGTCGTTTTTCATCCGCGACTGGTTTCGCTGTTGCTGTTGTTGTATTTATGAATTTACATTCCAGTTTTGTCCGCGTAAAGAGACCGTCGCCTGTAATGACGGCGACGTAGCTGAATGCCGAACACATTCTGAACGTCACAATTTTAAATCTCGAGATTGTGTTGATAGTTTTGTTTTTTAAATGTATTCGTTTTTGTTTCACGGAGGTTTTTTTTCTTTTCTTATTAATGCCACACATTTGAACAGAAGTACATTTTGGGATATTCGCAGAATGCCCTGTCGGCAGGTGGATTGCAATGACGACACAGCTCCACTCGTCCGAGACATCACCGCGTGACACCCACTGAATTTAGCTCGCACTCACACTCCAACTATAACATATTGTGAGTGAATGCATTAATAATCCCTCGTTAGAATTTGATTGTTTTACACTTTTTGATATATATTAGTAATGAAGCTCACTCGCTGTTGTAATTCACACTTGTAGATTTGGCATTCGCACATTTAAATGTATTCCCACGAAGATGTCTTCCGTGATTTTCTTTTTGTTAAAGCCATAGATACAATAATTAGCGACCAATGTTAAATAATGCCATCGCATGTTTAACGCACGCGTATATACACACACAAATCTATTTCTTTGAACAAGACCACGCTTTTCAATTGCAGTGCGATAACAAATTCCCAATTGACCCGTTAGAGTAATGGGATTGCAGATTATCTGGAAGGAAAACACGTTTTATATTTGACGGAGGAGACGTTAGACCGTACGTGTAAGCGCGTGTAGATTTCCCGATAGTCGCGGGCGGTCAGCTCAGACTACGGCTCGGGGTTAAACGCTCACAGCGCGGGGCAGACGAGAGAGACGTGGTGTCAGTCCACGTGTCAATTTCCGACGAGTCCCCAATCACCGTAACGATGCAATCACATTCTACATTTGCGTGATAGTTGACATTTAAAATTGTTGCCGGCCAAGTTTCTTGTTTTGAAGAAAACATTTTACACGGAGAGCCGTGCAGTGAGAATCGTGTATGCGTTGAATACCAGCACACACATACACACTTACACACACACATACACACACACATACACACACACACATACACACGCTCGCATCCTATACTACCTGGAAGACACTACGTAGATACATATACACAAACACAAAATGTTAATACATACACACCTATATACATACACACGTACATACGTAACCTTTTAATTTTAATCGTATGATTGACGCCGCTTCAAAAACTACGTATACATCTATGCATACAAAGACAAATACCATCCGTTTCGTCTTAGAAAAGGTGCTGTTCACACGTATATATGCATACTTTCACACATACATAGCATGATGATCTTTACGTGTTTGAGGCCACTCAGAGACACATGGTTATTAGTTACACATCGAAACTCACGTGCAAGCATACACGCAAGGTGATAACTGTCAACATTATATGACGTGAGGATGCTTAAGCACTTTCTTTTCAGAATGTACACATAGACACACACACATATAGACGCAAAGACAAAGATCACCCGTATAGCCTGTAACAGACTGTTGGGGCAAGTGTTGTTAGCGAGCACCTATGAAGGCCAGAACGGCATACCAGGGGTGGGTGGCCAGCACCACGCCCGGCCGCCTTTGTCTCCCCAGTGGCGATGTTTACATACCGCACCAGGTACTCATTTGAGGCCGAGTCGACCTAGGGAAGGCCCAGGACCGGTTCAGATAATCGTCACTGATTTTGGCCGTGAGCGTGAATAGAACTCGAGTCGCCAGGTTCGTAGCGCAGCGCGCTAACCGCTATACCACCGCTCCACACACACACACACATAGATACACACACATAGACACACACACATATAGACTCACAAACATCTAGACACACACACATATAGACACACACACACATAGACACATACACACACACATTGACACACATAGACACACAAACATATAAATACACACAGACACACACATAGACACACACACATAGACACACACACATAGACACACACACATAGACACATATAGACACACATACATACATATATAGACACACAGACAAATAGACTCAAACACATAGACACACACACATAGACACACATATAGACACACACACATAGATACACACACATATAGACGCACACACACATAGCATGATAATAACACGATAACATAACATGAGGTCGCTCCTACACACATTGCCGTACATTTATACAGATTCATACAGAGTATCCCCACGTAGCCTCTAGCAGGCTATTACGGCAAGTGCAGTTAGCGAGCACCTATTAAGGCTATTACCGCGCACGAGGGTTTAGTGGGGCCGAAACCGCGCCCAGCCATCGTTCACTCTCCCCAATGATGTTTACACGCAGCCTCAGGCACTCGTTTAAGGCTGAGTCGACCCACGAGACGGCGACCCAACAAATATTCGCCGCTGTTAGTTATTGGTCGTGAGCGGGAATTGAACGCGGGTGGTCGGGTTCGTTGCGTGGTGCGCTGAGCACTGGATCGTCGCTCCCCACGTACATTTATGCAAATGCAAATATCCCCCGTGTAGCCTTAACAGACTTTTGAGGCAAGTGTTGTTAGCGAACACCTATGAAGGCCGGCACAGCACACGCAGGGGGTGGGTGGCCAACGCGACGCCCGGCCGCCTTTGTCTCCCCAGTGCCGATGCCTACACGTCGCATCGGGCACTCATTTTACGGCTGAGTCAACGTAGGCGAGGCCCAAAACCCGTGCAAATATTTGCCACTGTTACGTTGGTCGTGAGCAGGAATCGAACTCGGGGTGGCCGGGTTCGTAGTGCGGTTCGCTGACCATTTATACGGACACACGCAGACGCACACGAACACACCGAACGCGTTCCATGCACGTGGTGTCATTAGGTAAAACAGCCGTCTTAGGGTAACGCCAACAGCACCCTCATCGGAATCGCTGCTCCCGTGGATAGACCCACAATGCCCACGGTGTGACCGGCCACCAACCCAACTCAATCGCTGCGGCCCTGAGGTGACGGAAGTCCGTGCAGATGTCGTAGGGAATATGTGGAGAGAGCGAGACGCGGAGTGACGGTTTCTCAGCCTAACGCACATCGGCGCGCTCCCCGTCTCCCTTCCTTCTCCTCTTCCTCCTCTTCCTCCATCCCCCACTCCCCCTCCCCTTGCGTATGTGCTCTCGTGCGTGTGCGTGCAGCGTCCGGCGCAGTGGTTCTCGACAAGGACGGGAAGCGAAAGCACACGAGGCCGACCTTCTCGGGCCAGCAGATCTTCGCGCTGGAGAAGACCTTCGAGCAGACCAAGTACCTGGCGGGTCCCGAGCGCGCCAGGCTCGCCTACTCGCTGGGCATGACGGAGAGTCAGGTCAAGGTGAGAGAGACGGAGAGAGACGGAGGGGGGGGGGGGGGCAGCGTGGCAATGCAGGTAGGCGGTAGAGATGGTAGTGATGATGATGATGATGATGACGGGTAGGAGAGAGCATGGACGAGGGGTGTATATCCGGCAGTGGGGAGACTTGGAGATCGAGGGATGTCTTGTACGTTCACCCTGATAGGTGACACAACGAGGATGCAGCAGATGGATTGTCGCACGAGACCGGTTTCCATTGCGCGAAGTGCCGACTCGCGTCGTCGAGTCCTACGTTGTTGCACGCGCTCATGATTTACGTGGAACCGCGCGGAATTGACACCGATTCAAAATGACACCCCCTTGGTAAATCCACTGCTAGATGACGGCCTTGCCACGCACGCCGTGTCGGTTACGGGGGAGTCGATTGACTATACTTCACCACGCTGGTCCAGTACACATTAGCCATGAGGGTTGGCGGGGGGGAGGACATGACCCGTCAGTCGGATATGACTCGCCGCTGACGTTAGCCGTTGCTGGGAATCGAACTCACGTGGTCGGGGTTCAACAACGCAGTTGCGCTAGCCGCTTTGCAATTCACGTGATCGCTGCGATGAATGGGGGCGCACAATCCGTGCTCGAATGATCACCGTTGCTCGAACACGCCTTGTTATGCACGCGAGATAAACTTAAACTCTGTGCTTTATCGGAGTCGAGTGTTAATAACCCGCTGTTCTTGCGCTAACGCCACACCCGTGTTAATAACGCACGTGGCGCTGTGCAGAATGCTTTAACTCGAGGCCATCCATGATTTTTGCAAAAATTAGCAGTTAATTTCGGCGGCGTATAAATCGTATTGAATTGCGGTAATTATTTTCTTTAATGTTTTTTTTTGGTACCCCCCCCCCCCAGCCCATAATTAGTGTGCGACGATATATCAGTGTTATATTTGTGTGGGTGCATGTGTGTGCATGGGGCGTACATGGATTTAAGTAATGAATACATCTTTGTCCTCCGGGGTTACAAACTGCACACTCCACTACCCACCGGGGAATTAGGGTCATTTAATACAAACAATGTGGCTCGTATATTCGCCAATTTGTTAACGTGCGATCATATTTATAAATGCATTTTTTTGTTAAATAACGCATTTTGTTTGCGGACCATTCATTCCAAATTCATATTTAGTGCAGGCCCAAGTCGGAATAATTACTCTGGCGGCGCAGAGTAAGCTGAATCTCATGGCCAGCGTGTCTCGGGTCTAATTGAAAACCCTGCTTTTTGTGAGACTGGATTGTTTGTTTTGCGAATGTTTTTTTTGGGAGAATTTCTACCACCATGCAGTATGGTCAAATAACCCCTACGACGCATTAGTACGTGCGCGCTATAAAGAAGGGTCATTACCCGAAACGTAGCATATTATGTATATATATTTTATTGTAATACTACACTGCTATTTACGAATGTATTACGTGGGGAGGCCGTCATCCAGCAGTGGAGCGATTATATGCGTGTCCGTGTCAACCCGACGCGCGAGTTTAGTAGCTGACATTAATTGAATACAACTGCATTTCCCCTCTGATCATCTGATACTGATATCGCAGTCACTTGGGATTTAAATTTACGTTCGAATATTTTATTGCGTGTCTTTGTAACGCGTGTGTGTGTATGTTTCGAGAACAAAAAAAAAACATATATACACTTGCGTGTTTCATCATCCTTAAAACCAAACTCATTATGCGCGGTCGTTTCGACCCGATAGCCTTTTGTTCAGAGCATCTGTCAATGTAGCGGGATTTAATGTCAATGTAGCAGGCACGATTCTGCTGATGAGACTCGGAAAAGTCGAGACCTGGACGAAGTTTGCTCGTTCCAAAGCAGTCCTTGCGTCTTCCAAGGACTGCGCGGAGATAGACTGTGCATTCATACAGCGCAATTCATTACGTTGAGAGCCAGGCTCCAAGCAGTGAAATCGGCACTCGTGCCAGATAGCTCCCCACGTGGATAGCTACATCGCCCGAGGATTGTGAGAGATGATGACGGGGGGGGGGGGGGGGGCTTCATCCAGCGGTGGATTGATCATGGCTGATGACAACGCTTAATTATCGAGTCGTCTTGCCAACTGACGTTAATGTCACTTGACGTGATGCCTGCGATTTTAAGCATTTACGCGTCGATTGCGTCTCGATCACTTCCATCTCTTTCTCTTCAACGGCTCACTTCTCCATCTCACTCTCACGGCTCACTCGTCTCACTCCCCTCCTTAACCCCCCGCCCCGTCCCGCCCCCCGACTCGCAGGTCTGGTTCCAGAACCGGCGCACCAAGTGGCGGAAGAAGCACGCGGCCGAGATGGCGACCGCCAAGAAGAAGCAGGACTCGGAGACGGAGCGCCTCAAGGAGACGTCGGAGAACGACGAGGAGGAGGACGACGACGAGTACAACAAGCCGCTCGACCCCAACTCGGACGACGAGAAGATCAGCCAGCTGCTCAAGAAACACAAACCTGGCTTGGCCGTCGGTCTCCAACAACAACAACAACAGCAGCAGCAGCAACATCATCTGGGGAGCCCAGACCACGAGCGGCCATGAAGAGAGAGGACTGGGGGGTGGGGGTGGTTGGGGGAAGATGGGTGGATGGATCTGTTGGAGGGAGAGGGGACCAACCTTGCACCCTCCCTCCCCTCTGGTGCCCCCCCATCCCCAGAGACCCCACGCGATGTAAAGACTCCCCCCCCCCCATCATCCCGGGGTGTGGGGAATTATCGGCTCGATGCGTGGTACCTTCGCTTGGCAACGAGAGCAACGATGGACATGCACACGACGTGTTGATGTCCACGTGGTCGGACGAAGATGTGTATATATTGTTTTGTTTTTTTATCGATATATATATAGCGCTAAGTTATGAAGAGACAAACAAAAACTAAAGACTCATCAGCGATTACTACGATCATGATGATGATGATTATATATACCTACGCAGAGTGATACGCGATTATTTTGGTGGGTAGGTGGGTGCGGGAGAGGAGGGGCGGGCGGGGGGCTGCTGATTAAGTGATGCAGGAAGATGACTTTGTGGAGTTGGGATTTTTTGATCGGCAGCACGCCACTCTCGGCCCCCCGTCCCGTTGCCCCCACAGCGTGAATGTACATAGCGCTTGAGTGTATTTAATAAACACTGCTAATGTATAATATATTCAACAGCGGCATCGCGTATATATGTATATGTACTACACAGCACTGAGCTCCACAGCACTGACTTATTAGCGATTAACGAGGTTGGGTGTTTTTGGTTCTTCATCTTCATCTACTTCTTCTCGTCCTGAAAAATCCGACGGGGTTTTTTTGTTTTGTTACGGGAATGAACTCCAAAGTTGGACATTGAGTAGAAGAGACGGATGGATCAAATGCGGTCCTCTGGACGACTTGTGATTCTGCCGCTACAAAAGAACTTCCCGAGAAATCAACACAAGGGATGGGAGCGCACGGACGCGATCATTGGTGACAACGACGACGATGATGGTGGTGGTGGTGGTGGGAACGACAATGATGATGATGATTATTGACCATCGACCCTCGATGGTGACTCCGGCGAGTACCCGGACCGCGACTCGGACTCTGATCGCCGTCTCGGCCCTCTTCACACTCCGCAACCCCTTGCCCTCCCCCCGGTTCGTGAACGTTGTTTCTGAATGTGTTGTCAGTCACGTGCTGTCCATAGGCCTCTCGATTCGGTGTAGACTCCGTGTTCGTAGCAGCTCAAAATCCCGCTCGGAAATCCACGAGTAAAATAGAGTAAGGGTATTTTAGTTTTGTTATTTTGTTCGGGCGGGCGGGCCGGGTCTAGTGGTGGTGGCTGATGCCCCGCGCGTTTTCCATCCTCTTTGGGTTTTTTTTTTTTGCATGGCTCGTTCGACGTGATGAACTGAACATTTATCTGAAAATAAACTAAAACGCACATCATCGTCACCACCACCTCCACCTCCTCGGTCCACCCGCCGCTACACTTAACGGCTACTCACATAACGTGACGCCCACCCCACCACGCCGCTCCCCAATCCGGCCACGCAAAACTTCAATTATCTCTCCCACCTGCACCCCCCCCCCCCGACTCTTCCACCTGCACCCCCCCCCCCTTCCTGCGCCGCTCGCTTTTCCGTGCAAGAACTCGTGGACTCACTGGCGTCGTCGTGTTCGTGTGTGTTTGTCAGTGTCGCGTGTTTAATGGAAATAACTAAGGTATATGCCACGTGTTCGTGATCCGAATAAAATATTATAATTTAAAAAAAGAGCAACGGAAACTTCGGCACAGTTGGTTTGGTTTCGCGATGTCTTGTGTCTCGTCGTCACTTTATTTTGTTTTATCTCTTTGGGAAAAAACGTTCGGGGCCCGGACCCCGACGTCAGCTGTTCCCGGCTAGTTGTACGTAACAACGTGAAATCATTTGAGATACAATCACTGCGCAGGGTGTGGCGCGTGGAGCGAAACGTCGGACATCGTGCCGAACAACCCACGCGCGCGCGCGCTACTGCTCGAGAAACGCATGGGAGAGGGTGTCAAATTCGCCAAGTAGTATTTTTAATTCGACGCGATATTTTCCATTAATTTCCTCTCGGAACGTTCACAGCGACTAATCGTCAGCGCAAATATTAAACCGAATAAATCAATCGACGTTCAAATCTAAACTCGTTGGGTAACACGTGCTCAATTAATTGCGTAAAACACTCGGAGCGCTGAACGCGTTTCCTCAGGTGCCCGCTTGTGTGTGCGTACGTAGGACTTCTTTCGCGCCGTACGTAGCGAACCGCTTCGATACAAGGCGGTTGCGGCTCACTTGTATTATTTTGTTTAAATCTCGAGTCACGGCATTATTATTATTATTTCGATTTAAAGCTTTCGTGACTGGTTCTTTCGGTAAAGTTACGTGGAAGGGAAATAATAAAATAATACAATATATATTATTATGTTTTATGTAAAATATATTTTATTATGTTTTATTTAAAATACATTTTATTACGTTGAATTTTTAATTTTTGTATTATTTTCCTTCTACGTGACTTTACCGAAAGAACCAAGAAGATTATTATTATTTTTAGGTGCGGACATCAATTCCGGGCCTCCTCGCAGCCGTCGCCGCTCGTCTGACACGGTGAATGCGGCGCGCGCGCTCGCGGTGTCAATGCGCCGTGGGAATGTTCCAGGAGGAGTACATTTCACTTAATCATCGTAATAACCGACAGTATATCTTCTCTGCCCGAGGCCACGCGACTCCGACTCTCACCCCCCACACACACACACAAAAAGACAAAGACCCCCGTATAGCCTTCACAGACTGTAGGGGCAAGTCCTGTTAGCGAGCACATATGAAGGCCGGAACGGTACACGAGGGGGTGGGTGGCCAGCCCCACGCCCGGCCGCCTTTGTCTCCCGAGTGGTGATGTTTACACACAGCACCAGGTACTCATTTCGGGCTAAGTCGACCTAGGGGAGGCCCAGGACCGGTTCAGATAACCGTCACTGGTGTTGGCCGTGAGCGGGAATCGAACCTGGGTCGCCAGATTCATAGCGCAGCGCGCTAACCGCTACACTACCGCTCCCCACACACGCACACACTCGCCCCCATCAACAGCAGCTCCTCAAACCCACGACCCCCATCAGCAGTAGCTCTCAACTATCCCCCCTCCGCCCCCGCTGACCCCCCCATCGCCTTACCTCCGCCCTTATCCCACGCGCCCTCCACTCCACAAGGTCAGATCACTCCGATCACACGTACGCCGCCCATCACAGACTTCAATGCCGAGGCTGTTGACGGTGGTTCAGTTCGGCTTAAATATAAACTTCACGCGACGAATGCACGAGATGAGGGACGAGGGACCGATTGAAGGGGAGAGTCGTCGCGATGACGGGACGACCGACAAGACGAGACTACCGACAACCACGAGCTTCTTCTTCTTTTGCGTTGAGCGCGGCGCAAATCTCTGCAAATCGAGAAAGAGCAGAGCAGGTCGGAGTTGGACGTCGCATCTCGGTTGCGGGGCTGACTCGCGAACAACGAAAACAGGACGAATCGCTGGGCAAATCCCGCACGCGCGCGCGCGCAAGTTCAAGAGGAACTTCCAGGAGGGACTTTCGTAACAATCCACGGGACTCGTTGATAACAATCGCGAGGACGCGCGCGGCCCTCGACCAAAGGCGCTCAACTCCCTCCCCTCGCGGCGACCGCCAAACTCCGTAAAAACTCCTGAAAATTCCACCTCATCCGCTCTCGGTTGGTGCATCGCCACCTCCTCGCGCAACTGCGAGCGCACATATTTTTTTTTTGCTATTAAATAAACCCCGCGGAGCAAATATTGAACTTAATGAACGCTTGCCGAGATCACGTGGCGGACCTCCATCCTCTTGGGACGTCACGTGACCTGACCGTCTTTTCACCACCACTTTATAAGTACCGACGGGAGGGTTTTCTTCATAATATATAGTGGCTCGGAGTGAATACGACGTTTGAAAGGAAGAAGCGGCCATTGATTCACTTGTCTGGCTTCCCAGAGGGGGAGGGGGCGGCCCCCGAGTGATGCTGGGGGTGGGACTAAGGTGGAGGGGTGGAGGGAGGCAGGGATGAGTTGGGGGTGGTGGTGGGGGTTGCAGCGCTCCACGTTCTGAACGTTTGGGGATGAGAGGAGCTCGCTGATTCTGCGGGCAGCCGCCGCTTTTCGGCGTCGGCGTTCGGAGCGCCCGAACGCCGTCATCCTCGTTCCCCGCCCGGCTCGCTCCGTCCGGGCTGAGCCCGCGTGGCCAGCGCGTGCGAGCAATCGCGGTCCGTCGTCGTCGTTATCATCGGCGTCATCATCATCATCGTCGTCGTCATCCTCAATAGGAGCAGAATCAGCGACACCATCGTAAAGGCGTCGTTGTTATCGTCAACCAAGCCATTAAAGTAATCATCATCCACTCCATCATCATCATTGCCCTCGTCGTTATCAATGCCGTATTCATCATCATGATCGCAACTCCGATTAACCACCGTTGGCTAAGTGCGGCGCGAAATAAGTTCAACGTAAATACATCCATCATAAGCGACATTATCACCATCATCAACATCAAACGCGCACCAACATATCAAACAAACACAAACAGGCCCGTCTTCATCGCGTTCATAACATATTTACAGTTCACGCCAGGACCCCCCTCTGCCCCCCCACTCCCCTCCACTTACCCACCTTCTCTGGGCTGGGTTTCTCAAACCCCCATCGCAAACACGAATAATCCCACGGCCCAATTGTTTTTTATGCCTGTCGCGTAAAAGCGCCCGACGAGCGATCAGCAAACCGCTGCGTTTTGTCGCGGGGCTGTTGGTGGTAACGCGCGCTCTGCGTTCACCACGAGATGCTGGGGGGGGGGGGGGGGTGAGACTCAAGCGCGCCGCGTGTTTCGTTGCATCGAAGCGCACGGGAGAACGGCGATCGCGAAGGGGAAGACTCTTCCGTTAAACGCCTCCTCGTGATGATATCGTCGAGGTTGTGGACGCAGCAGCAGCAGTAGAAGTAGTCGAGGCGCGTCGTTGGAGATGACTTCAAGCTCGGCCCTCCCTCCCTCCCTCCCGGGCGAGCCGATCTCGCGATTGAAGCTCCTGCCGTGTCCGCACCTACGATGAGTGCGGTTGGCTACGTACGGTGCGAAAGAAGTTCAACGTGCATACACAATACACTCCCGTGCGGTTTGGGTTATCGTCTCTCCAACAAGACATATTTCATACACAAATTACAGTATGTAGACCGTGCAATATATACTGTACTGTATATATTTACATTATTACAAAAAAATTACGGTACCCAGAGGATATGCTTTCGATGGATTTGATCATATACATGTACTGTAGAGGTAATTTTACAATTGCACGCCGTAATTGTGATCGAGAATTAATTGTCATGCTGCCTATGGCGATTGTTTCCGGCGTTTGATTGACAAGTACGATGGTTGCATGAGTACAGAAAGCTTCGGTACAAATACAAACTCAGCAAAGGACTGATTATTGTTTTAATCTGTGAAACAACCGCGATAAAACACACACACAGCACCGCGCATCACCACCGCATGCCCGCCCGCACGCCCGTTAGACAGACACATGTCAAGACGCACCTCCATAAACATACACACACGCACACACGCACACACGTGCGCACACACACACACACGTGCGCACGCACACACACACACACGTCCACCAACTTCTATGTTGCCAAACCGCACAACGAACGACTTGGTTTCGGCGCGAGTTAAAATTCCGTTCATTAAACACCGCTCTAGCCAAAGGGCAGCAGCGCAAAGTATAATCATCATCATAATCATTATCATCATCATCAGCCCTGATCAATCCACTGCTGGATGAAGTCTTCCATCCCACATCCACCGCCGCCACCACCACCTCTAACCGATCCTGCCATGTAACAATCCACCTGAAGACAATATGTATGAACTTAAGTCATACTACAACTACTCGGGCTACTACGACTAATACCCTAAACAGTTCAGTGCACGTGCTCTTCGTCGGGTCGCAGAACGCGTCGGGCAACTGCTGTTTCTGCTGCCGTGAGCGAGTAGGTTCAGCGCGCGCAGAGAATCGAGCGTCGTTCGCTCGGTGCGGCGGCTCGGATCAAATCACGACCCAATTACGCGCCGCTTCGGAAATCGGTTTTATTGCTGTCCGAACAATTTGCGACGGCCGTGCCGGGCCCGTATTGATCAGAGCCCCATTTAGTGCTGAGCCACGGACGGAGGGGCCCGGGTAGGCGGTGAGCAGGGTGGTCGGACGGGCTGACTGGCTGGGCAGGGAGAGTGTTTTTTGTAAATACGCAATTGATGATGATGATGGTGTTAGTGACAAAGATCATGGTAATGATGATGGTGGTGGTCATTCACAATTTCTTTTTGTAAACGCAGTGATGTTTAGAAAAGCAGCTGCTCAAGTTGGATACCCGTCGCAGTTATACGCACACACACAGACAGACACATGCGCACGCATTAGCACAAACATACACGCACACTTATATACAGTACAGGCAAAGATACTACCGTATCGACTTAAAGACTGTTGGGTCATGTGCTATTAGCGGGCACCTATGAAGGCCGAAGCGGCACGCATTGGGGGTGTTGTGGCCACGACCACGCGCGGCCGCCTTTGTCTCCCCGGTGCCAATGCTTGAGATGCCGCACCAAATATTTGCTTAAGGACCGAGTCGAGCGGTGGCGCAGTGGTTAGCGCACTGCGCTGCGAAGCCGCACCGCGTGATTTCGATTCACGGTGACTGCCGACAAAATAATAATTACCGCGTGTTCGTACACAATGCACGCGCACGCACGCGCACGTTAGATGCGTGACAGTATAAACGAATACAACTGCTGGATATCGCATGAACATGACGTACGAGATGGATGGATATAGATTAGTTGAGAACGTTAATGGCACGGGTTGTGTAGAAATTTACGTGCCTGGTCGCGATCTTGTCACGCGCATCGCACGCGTTTGAGAATTGAAACATCTTGACGCGTTTGGGCGGCAGACGCGATAACGCGAAAGCACAATGAGATATCGAACCGTATACCCGTGCACGCTAATTGCTCATCAATTAAAGCGAATTCGATGCTTAAACTATGTTTTGTTGTTGTCAGAACCTCCAATAAAATATCGGCCGGGTGGCTTTCGCCCGGTCGCGAAAAATATCGAAATACACCAGCAAAAACCAAACCACTGAAAACAACCCTGTCCAGTGTTATGAACGGTTGGGGCGTGTGTTGTTAGCGAGCACCTATTAAGGCCGAAACGGCAGACAAGGGCGTAGGTGGCCAGCACCACGCCCGACTGCCTTTGTCTCCCCAGTGGTGATGTTTTAACCCCCC